TTATAACATACGTGTTAACATAGCAATTTGGACTTTGGTAATAAAAACAATTAATTAATATGAACCCTTGGTACTGAGGCACTTCTTAAGAATTTCAAATGTGAGAGGAGTTTCGTTAACGAATGGAACTGACTCATTGGTTCATTATAAAATTTTTACTACGGGTTTTCTTTTACCGTATTTTTAGTATGTGAATAAATCATTCGGCATACCTGTCTCTAAATAACTAGTTTAATACACCAACATTTTTGACTATTCTAGGTCTTGCTACATTCCAAACAGCTTCTATAGAGGAGCACTTTCCACCCAATGCATTCTTGCCTCTCGACATTCTAGTGCAACGCGAGCCTGTCCTCAACAAAGAGACTGCGACCGGCGCCAACATTATTTGATAAGGTCTAACAACTCATGAGCTTAAAGCCAGATCATGGAACAGAAAAAAAACACTAGTACAATCTTCTATCTCTATCTAAGGCAGCCAAAAAGCAAACTGCCTAATTTTTTTATGGATTCAGCAGGCACTTTAAGTGGACGGTACCAACAAAGCCACTCCAACCACTTGACTGCATTGTACGGCCACAATGGCGCTTTGATTTCACTATTGTGCTCGCAGGTAGAACCCGCGACCCGTGCTTTACTTGTTATTCTTAATAATGTTTTGTTTGCCGAGTTTGGAATAAAATGGCGTAGTATCGAAACTCGTGTTTAACTGTATTTTATACGATACAGTTTGGTTTTGCATTGACATATTGTGGCAGACAGAAGCCATCAAATGACAATTTTAACAAGAGCTGTAGTAGAAATAGTTCGCTCGTGTGAAACTTGGAAAAATACATAATGACTTCTTCAGGTGTACAAGATAAGAGGCTCTCAGTATGTTGGTAGCACGGTTGACTGCTCATGATCCGCCAGATGACCAATTTACTCGTATTTCTTTTGTAGCCAATAATAGTAACAATTTACATGAGACACGCTTCATTTTATGTCGTTTCACCGATATTTTATTGACAGCTTGACGAGGCTTACTCGTAGGCGTACCATAAGGGCCATGTAACCACATAGTGATTATTCAGGCGATATTAACTCTTATGCTCTAGTAATACAGGAGATAGTGGAGGTGAACACACGTTGGTAGTTTCTCACTGGGAAGTAGGAACTGAAGTTGTAAGTCCAGTCTACACACGTGAAGCCTCGAGGTCCGTACTCAGCTGAACATGTCGGACTAACTACATATATTTGCAATTTTAGAATGCATGCATCTCATCATGGCTAACCAGGTTACTTTAAAACTTAAAGTTTATTTTCTCATGACAGTATGTCGTCATGACACAAGGTAAATAACAAAATAAATATTACATTTTCAAGGTATAAGCATATTGACTTTTAATGTAATTCTACACGCGTCATCCAAATAATTAAAAACATCAATGTAGCATCTAATTAGCGGGAAGCAATGGTTGATATCAATTGAATAATGTTAATCGAGAAACCAATATCATCGATGTATCGAGACTACACACAGAAGATATTTGTAAGAGCATTCTAGACCGTGAAGGCTCTATAGTTCAGGAATGTGAGGTGAACCCGCTACGGCTTAACGACTGACCAAACATTTATTCCGCGAATCCGTTATACACGACAACTTTCTAGATCCACATACATCGAACGCTGGGAAGCGGTGGCAATTATTATCATTCGTATGTAACCGTCGATGGATGTGGGACGACGCGACATGGTTGCGTCGTTCGCTGAGTAACACTACCGTGGTTACGGCTAGATCTCGACTTTCGTAAAGAGTTCAACGCGCGCCTGCTATCTATGTCCACAATATAATCTAAGTTTGTAAATAACATAATTGATAATTTACACTATAAATAGTGTATATTAATGTCCACTAGCCGTTTATTATGTTTGCCATGGTATTAGCGACTTTGAGTTTGTTTTTATACGTCAAGTTTTGAGTTTAATACGAACCTTTAAACGGTTTTGGTTTATTATTACGTTTCGCGTATAATACAAGGCCGGCAACAATTATTTAAGGATTAACAATAACATATGACGTCTTTAAAACGACTATTGTTTTTATGTATCGCTATATTTATTGATCTTCTATACATATACATATATTATATTATTACTATACAGTGCCTACTATAAACTATATCTATTCGAACTAAGTACGCCAATAAATAACTGACAGTGGTAACTACTTGCATTTACGTTTAACCCTAATGTTTAATTACTAATACGATACTAAAACCTATTTCAATATGAGAAAATTGGTTCTGATTCCAATTGTAGATAGTAAATATATTAATTTTACACGAGAATATATTTCTTGCACTTTTATTGCTTACTGGTTTAGTTGCAAATTGGAATTTTCTATTCTAAATTCCATCCCTAATCCGGAAAAATTTAAGTTGCATACTTATTTATATTACGAACTTAACATTTTCGGAAATAAATAACATGATGGTATGTTATGTTATATGATAAACCAGTAACAACAACCTAACGTACTCGTATTACTCATCGAGCTCTATTTTAAAATCGCCATTACATATAAAACGTTAGATATAATATGTATAAGAGCACAAAAAAAACGAAACAAGATATTAAAAGAAATATTGTTTTACATAAAAACGAACTGGTTATTAAAATAAAAGATATAATTGTATCTAGATGATGATGTTTGTCTTTTGAGAAATGTGTGTAGGTACCTAATCATTTTGTCAGGTATTCCGTATTCTCAACCTTTTCGTCTGGGATGGACGATGGTTAACTAGGCGGTTTATATTTAATAATAAATTAAGACGCCCTAGACGGACATATGTCTGTCTATAGTCTATAGTATAGGATGTCTATAGTCGTGGTGGCCCGGAGGTTTAAGACGCCCACTTCTCATGCATGGGGGTGCGGGTTGGAAACCTACCAACGGCAAGTACCAATGTGACTATTTCCGAGTTATAATATATAGTTTCTAAGATTATTTAGACACCACAAACGGTGAATGAAAAACATCGTGAGGAAACCTGGACTTATAATTTCTTATTATAAGAGGCTTTGCTCAGCAGTGGGTTAAATAGGCTATTGATGATGATGATGATGATGATGATGATGAGACGGACATATACTGACCAGATTGGCGATATATTAAAGAAGGGCCAAATTAATAGTACCCTTCACCGACGAGCATGCATGAAAAGACTGATGATTGTTGATGAAGCGAAAGAGGTATGTAGAAATCGTAGTAATTGGCGTTCCATAATCTCTGCCTACCCCCATGGGAGACAGGCGTGAAGTTATGTATGTATGTAGTAATAAAGTCACTGAAGATTGAGCATCTCTGATGTGGCGTCAAAGAAAATTGAGCGGGGAGGATATAAGTAAGGGGTGGAATCTTGTAATCAAAGTTTTTATTAAAACATAAACATTGTTAAATAGACTATATTTCTTAGACGGATAATACTGATGATAGTATGATTAATACCATATTTAGTTAAAGTAAGTTTTTATAATAGATCTAACTAGTCAAATGATATAAATATTTATATATTCTGTCTGACCTACATTTGTGTATGCGGCCTGAGGGGGGAAAAGAACTTGTACGCGTATATATATATAAGTAATTTATTAATTAAACGGTTACAGGATAATCTAAAAGTACATGTTAATAAGGTTTATTTTATGGTAGCACAAAACGAATGCAAGCTCAAGCTTTGGGCTTTAAATGCCAACATTTTGGATATAAGACAAACCATTTCATACCTTATAATTACAAAATACTAATTTTATTATGGTATGCAGAGCTAAGAACAATCAGACAACGAATTGTAACTACGTACTAAAATAAATGAAATACGACGAGAATTTTCGCCAATCCCATTTATAGATCATCTTTATAAGGCTATACAGGGGTGGTCATTGCAAACAAAATAGTAATTTGAGGTGATGTTGTCAGACCATACCTATATGTTTTTCATCATCTAAACACATTAGCTGTACCCTATAAAGTGGATTATAAATAAGCATTCGATAGTAAACGTTGCCTAATTACGTTCGTTGGGCAACGGTAACGATTATAGTGCTACAAGAACCTGTAAGATTAGTCACTGGTCGAGTTAAACCAGCTAAGGGGCGGCACCAACTTAAAACATGAGAATAATATTAAAACACAAACTTCAAAGCACAACATTAACTGACAACTTTGGTTTTCAGCAAAATATTTTCTCAAAAAGAAGTAGTACAATAAAACATACATGATATTAATAAAAAACCTCCAATGTTATAAGGATTAGGTAGTTCATTTCATAATACAGCAGATACAGTACCCTCGTAGCTACAAAAGATAAGCCGAACAAAGCTGCATCTATTTAAAACGGATAAAAAATCGAACACATCCCAGACTTTAATTACCAAATCCAACTAAAAAAGGTGCATGATACGTCTAAAAGTTACGTTTTCGGCCGTCCACTACTCGGCTAGTACAATTTGTTCGTAAGTCCGTATCTCAGCTAGGTGAGCACAATGCGTTATTAAAAACTTTTGTTACGTGGCTTTTTTCTACACCGTGTCGAGTGCGACGCATACCTGCGTCCTTCTCGACGTTTACCTGTGCTTGTGAGAGGGCAGAGGTAGACTGCCATAACTATTAGACACGGCAAACGAAACGCACAGTGCCCAACGTAGTCCTAGTGACAACTGTGAACTTAGTGCAACCAAGTGATTAGTGCTAGTGACCCTTTTAATTGAATCTTTAAAAAAAATGCAGATTTATTATTTTGCCAATGTCTAGTTTGCTAATGCCCTAACTTGTCACCGTGCCGATTTGAAGGTTTAGTTTCGTTGTGGACTAAGTTTAAGTTCATTTGCACACATCAGACAGCGCGAGTTTCAATATTTAGACGAAAGAAACGTTTACAAACTTTTCCCGCCCAAAGGCTTGCTAGTTGGCTGTTCTGTAGAAGTTTGAGTCTGTGGGTGCGCCCGCGCAGCGCGAGGCTCCACAAACCGGGCGGGCCAGTACACGATGGAAGTTAGTGCCGGCCGGTCGTGTGCGTAGCTTCGCGAGTGATGTCGCAGCATGGTCGCTGCGCGTGCCTTGTTGTGGTGCCTGTGCCTGATCGCAGTCGGGACCCCGGCCGCCTCCCGCGGACACGGACGACAACACCACGCTCCCTCACGACACAAACATTCGGAATTCGTTAAAGGAAAAAGTAAGTGCTGTGCCGCCCACGGCGCTTTCAAAGTTTCAAACCATCACTTAATGCCAATGTGTACTGTGATATAGTTGAAAACGTGATACAAACTTGTAACCTAGTTGTAAACCATGCAGTGACCGTATAATAACTCTATAAAACTGTAGAAATAAAGACGCGGTACAAGCTAATCGCTGGAATAAAATAAACAAAGCTTATCTCGAACCAACAAACGTAGCCTTATATAGCGCGGAAAGCTGCTTGACGGTACACTGAACTGGCCTTAAGAGGCTGCGTGTACGAACAATTAAATTTCATCTTGTGTGACGAAGTTTTCCGAGAGCATCGGAAGGGACGCGAGACAATATCCCACAGGATGAAAGGCAAGGTGCACGCATTGTGAAACGCTTCAATTTGCGAGCCAGTGCGCAGTGGTTGCAGCTTTTGTGTGCCTGTCACAGACAAACGGATGGAATGCCATGAACCAATGAGACCGTTTTGGTTTTCTAAGATATAAAATGCCAAAGTTGTGAAAATATTTGTATTGTAAACTTAAGTAAAGTGAACATAGTATTTTCGAAGTAAAACTTAATTCATGAAAATTATCATGATCAATTAACGAGCGTTACAAAACAGACAATCCGCTAAACAAATGTCCAGAAAATACCAAAGCCAGAACTTCTACTTACATTTACTAATTTCCTTTCATAATATTATTAAAAGTACAGTCGTACCCATACAAGATTTGTACCACATTAAATGGTTAGTAACTTTAAACTTGTTTTGATCAATTGTTTTAGAAATCCGTTGGTTTACGGCGAAGGCATTCAAAGCTCCATTGTTCAGTATTATTATTTAGTACTTCAAACTGTTTAAAAAAAACCTTGAAGTTAAGCACTCGAGTGCTCACTTCAGTTTTGGACGACAATTGACATATTCGGACAAAGGATTAAGCTACTTAAAGACTTTTATGTACACTTGTACTGAAAACCAAGATTTCATTACGATACACAATATCAAAGTTATCTCAAAATATCGTTTATTGCACACAACATTAAAATATATCTAATAATACTTAAAAGTCTATTGCAAACTCGTTCATAAAATATGTAATTTTAGTGATACGTTCCGTTCTAATTAATTTTACCATTAATGTGCGGTTTACCGTTATGAATGTCCATGTCAAACGTCCATCGACATTAGCACTCTATAAAAATGTTGCTCTGTGATTTAAAAACTTTTCAAACGCATTCTATTTTGTTTCCCTCCAAAAATTAAATTAACGTTCACCGACGACCTTGCTACACTGGCCATAAAACGTGTTAATTCGATTTTCAAATAATTTCTGTTGTAATAGCAATTCGCTGACAAACACGCAGTCACAATTAATAAGAATTGGTTAATAAACCACATACATACTTTCATTTTGGCATGTCGACATACTCGGCTTTACAAGAAACAACGATTTTCAAACTAATATTAACGTAGGTATGCGAACGGTACTCATTTGTTCTACTAGTCAAATACAACACCAACTAAGCACGTACTGTTTTGTTATTAGCAAAAAATTCAAATGTATGCTTTGTCTAATTGTTTGTATTATATTGAAAATGAAGTGGAAAATGCGAGGCTAAAGTAGAACGCGGATATTTCTCAACTAATACTGATCTTCGTTGACACTGATGACTTAGCATGTCTGTACTAATATTTATTTATTTAACAAACAATTAGTGACAAATTATGGTGTTTTGTTTGTCTTTTAATGTGTTTAGAAGACATTTTATCTAATTAATGTTTTATCAAGCGAGAATAATATAGAATTGATATGGTTGACAATTAGTTCCTGCTGTCATCGGTCCTTAAAGCAACATAAGTCCTTCTTACTCATGTAAATGACAGGGTGGTCCTTTCTGTGGCCTCTGCTTTTGAATTACAAATCTGTAGCTCATCTACATATGAAAGAAATCAACGTTTGAGCGCTGACTCGCCTTTGTCATATCGTGCAGCGAAAATAATGTACTAACTTGAAAGATCTGTATGACCTGTATTGCATTTCATATACATTGAGATGCATTGAAAGATACTTACATATACGAAAATATTCTTGTATTTCGCAATTACCATGCTTCGAAGTTTATTGGTAACGTCGTAATGATTTTACACACACATCATACAAAACAATACTACATAAAATTATGTATGATTAATATCTAAGTAATCGTAACATTTAGGCCAATACTACTAAAAACATAAAGTTAATCCTAATCAAAAGATATTAACAAAATTCGCGGCAAAATTGAATTAAACTTAACGTCACAGACTATAAAATAAGGTATCCAATATGGCTGTACCAAATAGAAACTTATCTCCGTCTCTGTCTGGTGTTTGAATTTAGAGTAGGACAACAAATATATGTAATACTAAACATTAAAATGCGTCACATCCTCTAGCCGTGTTCTCTATCTAGCAAAATCTCTTAATGTTTTTATAATCAATGTCAATTAGTTACATTAGATACTTTATAATGGCCTCCGCCATAACTTCTATGATCTTTGAGGTTTATTATGGTTTTCCTCTCTACTTTATGGTACAAAGAGACCAGTAATGCGATTGAAAATGGAATGGATACGCTTAATCCTTATTTTATAGGGTATTAATATGAAATTGCGTATAATCTTGATATTATATTAAATATTGCAATATTATGGAAATGCTTGACTTAACGTATGCTATCCTTACGTATTATTTTTAACAACTGTATATGCGATGTTAGTTTAACAATTACAGTGGTTTTACGTTAGGGCTTGCTGAGTTGACACCCAATCATTAGCTGCCGCCCTATTATTAGGACCACGTGCCAAAGTTGCTCCACTTTGCCAACTTTGCAGTTTAAAAAATAATATATTATTTTCACTTATTTGCATGTCACACTTATATCTGCATACTATTAGGTTTAGTAAGAGGGAATCGATTTAAGAAAATAATGTTGGAAAGACTTGAGTAGATCGTAATTTGCAGTTCAACTTTGTTTATATAATTATCTAGATACAAACTAAAAATCAATTAAGTTTAAAATGTCCTTTTATTGAAAAACTTCAATATCTGTAGACATGCCAATCTATACTATTACGCATGTACGTAAATATAAAATAAAAGAAACAAAAATGAATCGATTAACGATTAAATATCACCAACAAGGAAATTCCAGTATTGTATCGATCGGCCGATCGTTTTATAGAGACCTTACTGTAGGAAATAAATTGCTCCTACGCACTTCCATGGAATTATGCACGTGTCATTAAGCATAATAAATCCCTACATAACAATATATTATCATATATGAACAATATGAACATCAAGAAACGATTAAAAAGAAGTCCAAAAAATCACGTCTACAGATATAACCAAAATGTGATATCTCTGGGTTCAGGCTAGAGATGACAGTCAGTTAATCTACAATTTTAATCTTTAACCAACTCTATGATCCCAACTACGTTTGAGAAAATTCTGGAGTAAAAGAAAGAAAGACTTGCAAGAAAAACGAGTTAGAAATTAAAATCCTGAAATAATGACAAAAGCGGAATTATAATACAGGATCCTTTGGTTATTTAATGAGAGGAAAATAAGAGAACAACATTATATTGAATTATATCTAAGTAGTATCTTCTGTGATTCCTGCTCTCACGGAAAATGAGTGCGAGTTTACATTTTGACTTCCATTTGATTCACATAACATAACATCGCGCCTTTTATCCCCGAAGGGGTAGATCACGGTGCTATATAACACCCACTTTTCACTATTTATGTTATGAGCCCCATGTAATGGGAGGTGAGTCTATTGCTATACCGGGCACAATTCCGGACTCCATGCTAGTACTCAATTAAAAAAAACTCTGTAATACTTTGCCCTACCCGGGAATCGAACCCGAGATCCCTTGCCCGGCAGTCGCACCTGAGACAGGCCATTCGATTCACTGTCAATTAAATATAGGATTCTCTCACTTTGTCCAAGCACGGCTTAATTAGCGCTAGGAATTAATTAAAATACGATTCGATATTTCAACTCGATTTGATTTAATCGAGTTATAAATTATGCAAGACGAGTTTCTTGACCCATAGCTTAGAAACAAAAAAAACCGGAATCAATGAGTCAGGCTCATTCCTGGAGTTGAAAATCTATCTAATTAGTTTCACAGCGAATGTGTAGCTATAATAGCGATGATTATTCCAATTTTTTAATTTAATATCATGTAGTTCTATATCTGTTGTTACTTCCTTCCACAAATGTTTTTCCATTATAAGTAATAATTCCATAAGGATAATTTTTCAGAATAAAAAGTTCAAAACTGCCCCCATAGTGACTTCTGTTTTAACTAATGACAATAAAAGAGACAATTTTCTGTTCGACCAATTGAAAAATCTTTTGCCTTGTGCTATTAATAAAATGAAACAAAACACTCCTTAATATTCATAGCCTGATATAACATAAGCCCCTTACGAATGTACTTTCTGATACAAAAATGTAAAAAACTATGTTTCGAAATCAGATCTTCAGACTCCTTATAAAAAGAAAATGAGGTATTTTAGTTGCTTTTTACAGTATGTTATTATACGGCATTTGCAGTATTACTTTAAATCGATGAATTTCTTACTTTACTTAAACGAAACAAATTATTGAACAATACTTATAAACCCGATACCTACTTGTAAATTGAGTTTATTTAGGTACTGATGTTAATTATTATTTATTATTCACAAAAGGGTCAAGGATATCTACATATTGTAGTTTGTCTCTGTCTTCATCGCAACACATGATTATCGACTTGAAACCTCGTAATAATTAATCATTATAAAGGATTTCATTCGTCGTGCTGGGATCTTGCGAATCCTACTACTATTATAAAGGCGAAAGTTTGTATGTATGGATGTATGGATGTTTGTTACTCTTTCACGTAAAAACTACTGAATGGATTTGAATGAAACTTTACCACAATATAGCTTATACATCAGAATAACACATAGGCTATAGCTTATACATCAGAATAACACATAGGCTATAGCTTATACATCAGAATAACACATAGGCTAAAATTTTTGAATCCAGGACTCTCTATCTTTTAACCACTGAACTTATTTCATAGAGATTCTGTACAACAGTCGAAGTTTTTATTACTCAAAACTTACGTGATCGGGCCGGGACTGGTAAGAACCCTGCGGGATTTTTAATTTATTGAAATTACGATAAATCATTTCACAATAGGTAAATCTTAATTGGGCACTGAATTGATTCTGATGAATTCTGTCAGAAGGCATTAATCTACGCGGACGAAGTCGCGAGCAACAGCTAGTATTGTAATATTGCAAGCAGACCTCTCAAAGTCTTCTGTGCGCCTGGTACTTATTGCTGAATAGACGTCAGTATAGCCTTTTTAACAGATCCCTCTTGTCCGGCAGAGATTTAAAATCCCAGTCAAACAAAACCTTATTCATAAAAACTTGTCATCAATAAACTCTCGACAAGTCTTTAGAGACTTACCTGTCATTGCTATTTTCTCATCATCAGAGCGAGATGGCGATAGTGCATTAGTAGTGTAACGCACATTAACGCTGACTGAAAATACTAACTAGACAGGCGCATACATAGTAATACCTGATGATTAGTCGCAAATTAATAACTTAAAGAACATTGTGTAAAACTTACTTCACTTTCGTGGAAATTGAGGTTCTGATTTCGAACACCATCCTTAGTCCGACCTAATATCGAGACGCACGACATCCAATGCCTCATTTCTTCATAAACGTAAAAGGAAACTGCACTCAGGCGCGGCATGGTACAGCGTACAATAATGGATTGTAGTGAAAGGTCGTGTTACAAGAACGAGATGGTGGCGGGACAAAACTGGTTCCATGCTTCAGAATGCAAGTAACTGGATAAAAACATTGCTATAAGACAAACCAGTCGACTCGAACACTGCGTTCCTCTTCAACTTGGTCGGATTGCACATCGCAAGTATACTACCCAACCCAACCGCGTCTAAATGTTGTAGCTTCTATTCACGGGTTCAGTAGACATCATTAGTTACAGTTATAACATCGAACAACATATTCAGTATATGCTTTTATAAACTTTGCAAAACAGTATTGCATAAAATCCGCGATCGATCCTTTAAGAAACATTTCCTATATGATCAAATACAAAATTAGAACTTAGTACTAAACCAATGAATTCCTTTGACTTAATTAAAAGCTATATTATCAGAAGCTATTTTAATGTTTATAGCAATCATCGACATTTGCATACCTTCATAGTTAAATTTAACTCAGTAGATCACTATCAGTGATTACTATGATAATGTGTCTCTGTTGTCATCATTAACATCACTTAGATTAAAATAAAATGTTGATTAACCTTGTTGTGTAGCTACTGTTGATTGATTCGTAGATCCGCATTTACAAAAACCTTTATGCTACTAAATGAGGAACAACTAAATAAGGCATTTAGTTCTAGAATACTGATCGGTTACTAATTTTTTAAGCCGTACTTAAATATGGACGATATTTAAGTACATCTGTCATTTTACAAAGAATTTTTACTAATAGACTTAAGCTCGACTTAATATTAAATGGTGTTTGAGTATTTCAGCGCAAAACCTTTTTTACATCTCACCACATTTAAATCTGGAACGTAAACAAAATAGGGATGATGACAGGGTATGAAAATTAAAAATGTAATTAGTCCGTCAATTAGGTAATAAAAATATTAGACACGTATTTTTTATTTTGTTGTTTATTAAAATGATACTTAGATATAACGAATCAAAGTTAAAGAGTGGGGGCTAAAACGTCATTTCTACGTATAAAATGTACATAGAAGTGACGTCATGCGACATTTCAAATCAATATATCTTCGAAACTATTAGTTACCGTAAAAAAAATAAAAATACATGTTTAATGTTTATATAATAATCTACCAGACGGGCATTAAAATTAAAATTAGTCATGAAACCAAAAAATGGGATTAAATGACATTATTCTCTATTCAAAATCATTACTAAACTGCACGAGTATCGGTCAGTGGCTGGCTACAGACTTCCATGGAACTCATTTTGACCAGTCCACCACAACCCACGCATTATTGTTTGCTCCCAACATGAAATAATGACATTTTTATATCTCAGCATCTATGAACACATTTCTATACTATCGCGTGTGCCATCAACACGTTGAACTAGGTCGACCGGACATTACAACGTTCACATTAAAAATCCAAAATGCTTGTGTTTAAAAACAATATTTAGCATTCCATCGCAGTTTTCAAATTAAAAGCTCTTAATGACGCTTGCACATATAACGCAATGAGCAGCGAAAAGCGGTTTGCTGTTTTGTAATCTCCGTTGAATGTAAGTTTAAACTACCAAATATGAAATTCATAAATCATGTACACTCGTCGAACAGTTGGTTACATCTCAAATCAGACACAAACGTGGGTGGCAACCCATCCGAATTCTATAGGTGTGCAACTGTGGGCAACTCTACTATATGTAACTATTCATAATTTTGTCGTGTAAACGGATGGCATTTTAGAAAGTATGAATTAAATGTTTGACTAAGTTTAGTTTGAACGGTTAAATTGATTCCAGGTATTTCTATAATAAGTTAACCGGTCTGAAAACGGGACAGTCAAGTTGTATATATTTAGGTACAATAGTAAAATAAACACATTTCAGTTTTAATGCTTATCGTTGAGTTGTTTGTAGACTATCGTTTATCGTCTAATTGTAATTGAAACCACGGAGAAAGTTATTGTCGAGCTTGCTTCGTTAGAACAAGTAGAGAATACGTTTGCCTTGAGTATGTAGGTAACTTGTATTAGCACTTAATCTTCAAACTGCACTCACTTCGCTACCACTTGATAAATAAGTTGACAGAGTCCGGTTAAAATAAACACAGTGACTTCAAATGTGTTTTAAAACTACCGAAGGAATCATATAAACGTATTACGTGCTCTAGTGTACAATAAATTCTTGCTTATGATCCTTGATTTGATTTTAGTAGCTAACTGTTACAAATTAGTTCTACAAATACATCTGACGTCATTTGCAGGTCGCTCTATATCAGGTTTGAATAGTTTAGTCTTAATATGAAAAGTTGAAGAAAAAAGCCATGTAAGATGTTTCCAAACTCTTTTGTATGAAGGAATATTCATAACGATGTTCGCACCCAACTTCGAACCTCAAGTTTCTAACTAAATTCATATTGACTCTGTAAACGACGACGTACGTAGATAAATGGTTACCAATATGTACTTACATCGTGAGTATAATTATGTAAGTACGTGTCTTGTTGTACAGACTGGCAACCATTTAATTTGAAGTAGAAACATATAGTTATATCATACAAATCACAACACCTACTCAGAAATCTATTAACAATTTAAAAAATACTTATTTGACCTTAAAATTAACCTTTGAATACTTTCAGACATAATAATTCGTAATTTAGAGGAAAACATTAGAAAATTCTCATGAACATTGTTCTCAGCTCGGATGAACAAAGCAATATTTTCGATAAAGGCTGCATGTGGGCGCCGTCATTTATAATCCTCGTAAATCAATGTCTGCGCTCTATCTCACTCAACCAATCAAATGTCAGTATTTAAGATGAACATCATGACGCGGAAACTAATCCTAAAGTTTTAAAACTTCAAATATAATGGGATAAGGGCAGGTAACACTGTGGAGCCAAGTGTATTATTTAGAGAGTCGCCGGCAACGCGGCGTACGGCAGCCCATTCCGAAACGTTGAAATGCCAAAAATATATCGTATGACAGTAACATTATACTCTTGTATACACGACTGATAAAAAACTGCCTATTCTACAGACGAGCAGGTAAAATTTACCTTGCCTCTTGAATACCTTCATATTTCTATACGTTTCTACGACAATAACTATTCTTTGTTGACAACAGCCTCCACAGAACTTGCAAGCTATTTTGAACTTAAGTAACAAGGAGAGAGGTTTAAAGCTAAACAATTATGATACCCGTTTCACAAGTTTTGTGGTTTCAGGTAAAGTTATGCAAGCGGTACGTGGACATTGGATCCCTAGAAATCAAACGACTATAGGCACTCTCTCGATATGTGTAAACCTGTGTTTGCGTACACAATACATAAGAAAATCCTAGTGTGAGACATTTTATTTTTTCATAAAATAATTTTTGACATTGTACATACGAACAGATATAGTACAGAATAAACCAATCAGTATTATTTTTAGTGTAAAAATAAGTTGTTAAACGGTAAACATTGCGACTAACGCCAATTGTACATTATCGCACAGTTCGCTTTACATGCGTGGTTAGGTTCGTATCATGAGGTTCGTTTACTGAAGCAAAACGGCATTGTAGACTATATTCATCGATTAATCACAAATAGCGGTTTAACTTGTAACGTAGTGGAAGAAACTCGTCTTAGAGTCCGCCCACGCAGTAACGCCTCTTCGTTAGACGAGCTCAGTTCCTAACTTGTCGAACGTCGACCCAATACAAATACATTGTTTTTGTCAATATTACAAGACGAATACATAAACGCCCTATTAAGTAACACTATTAGCCTTATGTTTCGCATGTCTAATAGATTTATTTTCTCTTTACAGTATGCATCGGGACAAATGGTCGGATGTCGGTGCCGTCGAACCGCGACACCCACTACAGGAATCTTCGCGACCGATTTACCAATTGCACGTATGTCGACGGAAACCTCGAGTTGACATGGCTGCAAAACGAAACTATGGACTTATCATTCCTGAAATACATAAGAGAAGTGACCGGGTACGTGCTGATATCGCACGTGAACGTACGACACATTGTGCTACCGCAATTGCAGATCATCCGTGGACGTACGCTATTCAAACTGAATGTGAGAGAGGAAGAATTTGCTCTTATGGTCACTATGTCGTCTGCATTCACTCTTGAGCTGCCCGCTCTCCGCGATGTGCTGCGAGGAAGTGTTGGAATTTATAACAATTATAACTTGTGCCACGTTAAAACTATAAATTGGGACGAAATAATTACGGGTGCCAATGCTACTTATGTGTATGTATATGATTTTGCTGCTGCAGAAAGAGACTGCCCGCGTTGTGATAGCAGCTGCGAGGCCGGTTGTTGGGGAGAAGGACCCGAAAACTGCCAAAAATTTTCCAAAACTATATGCAGTCCTCAGTGTGCTCAAGGACGATGCTTCGGGCGAAACCCTCGCGACTGCTGCAACGCATTTTGTGCCGGCGGCTGTACAGGACCTCTACCTAGCCAATGTCTTGCCTGCAGAAATTTCTACGACGAAGGTACATGTTCTCAAGAATGCCCGCCTATGCAAATCTACAATCCTACAACTTATTCTTGGGAGCCAAATCCAAATGGAAAATATGCGTACGGTGCCACTTGTGTTCGCAATTGTCCAGAACATCTGCTAAAGGATAATGGAGCATGCGTGAGAAGCTGTCCTCCGAATAAGACTGCAGTCAACGGAGAATGTATTCCATGCAATGTGACTTGTCCGAAGACATGTCACGCAGAAAAGCCAATACATTCTGGCAATATCGACAGTTTTAAAGACTGCACTATTATTGATGGATCTATTGAGATTTTGGAAATGACGTTTACGGGATTTCAACACATAAACTCAGATTATTCGTTTGGCGAGCATTATGCCAAGATGGAGCCTCACAAATTAGAGGTGTTCAGCACAGTGCGCGAAGTGACCGGTTATCTGAATGTTCAAGCTCATCATCCTAATTTTACTAGCCTCTCTTACTTCCGCAATTTGGAAGTGATAGGAGGACGCCAAGTCGTTGAAAACCTCTTTGCTTCTCTCTACATAGTAAAAACTTCACTGAAGTCTCTTGGATTAAAATCACTAAAACGAGTGAATTCTGGTGCTATAGCCATCATGGAAAATAAATATTTATGTTTTGCGGAAAAAATTGCCTGGAACAAGCTTGTCAAGTCTAAAGATCACAAGCAAATAATACAAAACAATAGTGACCCGGACACTTGTGGTGAGTTAGCTTTGCGACTTAGTTTTTGTTTAGAGGATCCTCTTTTAAAGTTAGGCTTATTTATTTATGATTTATAATATTTTTGCCAAAGCGATTAATTTTATACTGATGCCTCCTATCAACCAGCGATTTCTTAAATTGTCCCCAATTTTACATGTTCAGACTAACCCATTAACAGCAACTGCCTCAAACAGCTGCGCGATGATCTTCACCCTATGATGCCACTGAGATGAGCGTCATCGCAATCTGGCCATAGACCCTTGTTTATTTGTGAATTTTGCTTTGTTCCTAACCAAAACATTTCCAACAGAAAGCGCAAATTTGGTGTGTGATCCTCAATGTTCTGCGGACGGCTGCTGGGGCCCCGGACCAGATCAATGTCTTACCTGTAAAAACTACCAGTATGACGAAATGTGCCTTCAAAACTGCAGTGTTGTGCCTGGGTAGGTATTTATATAGCAAAACCGTAATTATTTTGCAAAAAAAATATTGCATAGCGAATTTGGTTATTAAGAGTGTTTAAATAACTTTAATAGGTATCAACATTCGTTGTATTTCGTAAACTGCCTATGTGACAAATTAAATATATTCATGTGCTCGCAACAAATATATTGATCATAATATGAAAGTAATGCGTCAATCACATTTCCTGACTGACATTATATATCGATTTTGGGAGCCTCATTAACATAACAAAGGCAATGTTTGTGTGGGCAGCCCTGACAGTTTTGACTTCCGAGCCTCGTAGGGTCTAAGTGTTACCAACAGATATACTTATTTCCAAAAAAAATACTCAATCACATTTTATGCTCATTACAGGTTATACAATGATGGGCCCAAGAGCTGCAAAGAATGCCACCCAGAATGCAAAGATGGCTGTAATGGACCAACACGAGCTAATTGTACAAGTTGCAAACATGTACGTGATGGCCCTTACTGCGTTAGCGAATGTCCGGACTCAAGATATACCTCTGATAATGCTACTTGCCAACCATGCCATAGGAACTGCTTTAATGGATGCACAGGACCAAATAATACCGTCGGTGAAGGAGCGTGCAATTCCTGTAAGAAAGCTATTATCAGCGTCGAAGCTACAGTTGAAAGTTGCCTAAGCGAAAACGAACCATGCCCTGATGGATATTACAATGAATGGGTTGGTAATGTAAAACCTCTCGAAGGGAAAGTAAAAGTTGTTTGCCGTAAATGCCATCCTAGATGCAAAAAGTGTTCCGGTTTTGGAATACACACCCAAGTCTGTTCCCTGTGTAATGGCTATAAACGAGGAGACCAGTGTGAAGACGAATGTCCGGCGGATCACTTCACAGACGAAGAGACCATGTCATGCATACCTTGTCACCCAGAATGCAAAGGTTGTAAGGGAACATCTTCCACAGACTGCATTAAATGTAAAAATCTAAAAGTGTTTTTGTCGCCGGATGAGCCTGAGAATCAACACCTTTTCAATTGCAGTGATACTTGTCCATCACATGTACCACACAAAATTTATTTCGACGCTTCATTAAATCGACTAGACGACGCTTATTGCTCCACGCATACTCATGGTACCCCAAATGGCATGGTATCTGCCAAAATTCCCACAGTACTTGTAATAGCTTTGGTTCTTGGATGTATATTGTTAGTGATTTTCGGAATAATAGGATACACATGCAGACAGAAAGCCAAAGCAAATAAGGAAGCAGTTAAGATGACAATGGTTTTGACTGGTTGTGAAGACAATGAGCCTCTGCGCCCAACCAATGTAAAACCGAACTTGGCCAAATTAAGAATTGTAAAAGAAGTTGAATTAAGGAGAGGGGGTATGCTCGGATTTGGAGCTTTTGGTAAAGTATACAAGGGCGTATGGGTACCAGAAGGTGAAAATGTAAAGATACCGGTAGCCATCAAAGTTTTGAAGGATGGAACAGGTGCTAACACTAGCAAAGAATTTTTAGAAGAAGCTTACATAATGGCTAGTGTTGAACATCCCAATTTGCTGCAATTGCTAGCCGTATGCATGACTAACCAGATGATGCTCATTACCCAATTGATGCCGCTTGGTTGTCTACTTGATTACGTGAGAACTCACAAAGAAAAAATTGGATCCAAGGCATTTTTGAATTGGTGTACACAAATAGCTCGTGGTATGTCTTATCTTGAAGAAAAGCGACTGGTCCACAGGGACTTGGCTGCCCGTAACGTACTTGTACAAACACCGAATTGTGTCAAAATAACAGATTTCGGACTAGCTAAGTTACTCGAAGTGAACACAGACGAATATAAGGCAGCTGGTGGTAAGATGCCAATCAAATGGCTCGCTCTGGAGTGCATTCAGCACAGAATTTTCACGCACAAGAGTGATGTCTGGGCTTTTGGTGTGACTATCTGGGAGATTCTAAGTTATGGAGCACGTCCTTATGAATCCATATCTGCACGAAATGTTCCTGAACTGATCGAAAATGGTCTGAAACTGCCACAACCCAGCATTTGCACTCTAGATATATACTGCATAATGGTATCCTGCTGGATGCTTGATGCCGATAGTCGCCCCACGTTCAAGCAACTAGCCGATACATTCGCAGAAATGGCAAGAGATCCAGGCAGATACTTGGTCATACCGGGAGACAAGTTCATGCGATTGCCGTCCTACTCCACCCAGGTAATAAAAGTTTACGTTTACATATGTAAATATTTATTTCTACGTAAATGTACTCACACAAGATTACTACCTCTAATAATGGTACATAAAGCGAACTAAATGACATATGACATTTTTGCAGTTACCTAAGTAGAACAATCTATTTTCGATACAATATTATGTAATATTTCATTGAAAATTTAATAAAATAAACCTTAAATAAATAAACAGTTTGAAGGAATTATCTATAATCATGTTTCCAATTCTTAATTCAAAGTCTAGTTTAAATAATACAATTTTTACGCATTTTATTCACAAATCTTTAGTAACTGTACATCAAGAAGTTAATTTGTCTTATAAACGTATTACAAACGATTGGAACTATATCCAAGTAAACAAACAGTAATAAATATAACTTATAATTGTAAATTACTAAGCAATTATTATTTCACATTCCAGGATGAAAAGGAATTAATTAGAAACCTGTCGTCGGCAATGGAAGGCCCTGAGTCTCTAGTCGAAGCTGACGAATATTTGCAGCCCAAATTCAAATCTGGTCCGAGTAACAACACTACAATTTCTGTCATAGAAGTTCACCAGAACTCTATGAAACCTTCGGCTACTTGGCCAACCGGCGGTCCAACCACCGATTGCGGAACTCCAGACGGGGCTAGCAAACCAGAGACGTGGGACCACGAGCTCCTGCGATACAACCAAGCAAACCCTTGCGGCGAGGGCACTGAGCTTCGACATTATTACAACAACGGCGTCTGCGCGTCCGATAGCTCGAGCTCAAGATACTGCAGTGATCCTATGAAAGGAAGGCCAGAAATCTGCGAAACTAATTTCGACAACATGTCGAAAGTCAAGGAAGCGCAAGTTGGAAATTTAAAGCTAAACCTGCCGCTGGACGAGGACGACTACTTGATGCCTTCACCACAGCACACGCAGAACGCTTCCACATACATGGACTTGATAGGCGAAGGTGGTGAAAATCAGGAGGGAATTAAGGACTTGCGATTCAGTGGTTTTGTGGGAAAACGATGCGTTGACAACCCTGAGTATTTAATGTCGGAGGAAAACGTATTACCACAGACTTTGGGAATTCCGACGGAACCAGTGCCGATGGAGTCACTGTGTATGAGTGAGGGTAGCGGCAGCGAGTCGACGCCGCGGCCAAGCACCAGCAAGTACCTGCCGCAGCGCTCGGTGGAGGAGGAGTCCATGTCGGACCATGAGTACTACAACGACCTTCAGCGCGAGCTGCAGCCCCTCCGCCGGAACGAGACCACTGTGTGAACTGTAACACAGAATCATCCCACTGATCTCTGACTTGTTTAGTGACTTTATTTACTTAATAGTGCCACGTGCACGACCTGTGCCATTGATTCGATGGCTAGTGTTAGATCGTTGAAACAATTTCTGATATGAATTTTATTGTAGTTATAAAAATACAGTTTGTTAATTTTTTACTTAAAATGTAAAGGTACTGTTATTTTTAAAGTGTATATTATTATAATTTCTATGACGTGCACATCCGATGCACTTAACAAAATATAAGTTATTTATTAATTTAGTTTAAGGACGGCTATGTTTTAGGTTTTTAGCGCTATCTTTAATTTTAGCGCATTTATTTTAAAGTTTAAACTGTGATAATTAGTTTAATTTCAATTTACAACCAGTGAACGGTGGGTGTAGAGTTAGATTCGTATGCATTATGGACACAGCGAGTTAATACGTATATATCATTTGCCATTGATTTTCTAGTACGTAGGTACTGCCGCTATTCGCTCATTTTTTGTGTAGTGTTTTTGTTACATAAAATTTCCTATCAGCATTTATTTCCGATGCATTCCTTATCCGTATAAGTGATAAGCAGCAAATATTTAAAGACATTTTAAATGTTATATGTGTTTACATAGTTGTTATATTCCACATTTTAATTAGAGAATAATCAGTAATAATCATACTTATATTACAAAAAAGACATATTAAAGTAGATGTTTTCGAAATATTACCTTAAGCATTTGGATACTATGTATGTTGTGTAGGTACAAAGCTCATTTATTGTAAGTTATTTCATTTGATCTTGCCATTGTTATTCCGGTAGCTAGAGATGTGAACCAACTCTTCTATAACACACAGCTAGTGTTTTCTTGGCTCTAGTGCCGAATATGGCCGCGTCTTGCATCGTTGACCTCCCACTCTATACCTGCAGCTCTTTATTATAATGTACATAGTAAATGTTCATACATTTTATGTGTAGCAAAGCTTAAAAAGACATGATTTTAGAGGGGCGATACCCCATACCACAAAATAAGCTCAAATGTTTTTACTAAAATGCAAATTCTTATTACTTTAGATTATTGTTTCTTTTATGACCAAACTCCTTCGTTTGCCATGTAACATGTAAATAATACGCTATTGTATATAATATATTATTTTACGTAATAATTTCCAATTTACGTTTGTATGAAGTAGTAACTACTCATATGAAATACCATGTGTAATTTTATGTTGTTTTTTTTATTATCTTGTATCAAAAATGTTCTAAATTATTTTGTGCCATTAAATGAAATAGGTACTGGATAAAACAGGGTGGATAGAACAATAAATGGATCGAGAGGAAACTAGAAAGGGACAACTTGATTTACGTTTTAACTAAGTACGTATTTGGCAGCATCAAAAACCACGTAGAAACTCCTTTCAAACTCATCGATCTTCCATACATTTTATCCGCCACGTTTTATAGTACAATTCATGACTAGTATCAATGTGTTATTTTAATGTTTATTGATTATGAATCGTTATTAATATACGTATTATGTGACTTACTTACTAAGCACAGTTACAGCTGCTTTTCATGTGGACGTAATCAATAGATGTTTTATTAGATGATCAAATACCTACATTATATCGTATAAAAATCGTAAATTTTAATCTTTACATGGCTAACAATATGTTCAAGTTCAATGTAGATAGTAGGATCGTAGATTGTCAATGTTGCGATGCTATTGTAGGTACATGTACCTTCATAAATGGAATATAAATAAAGTGGTTGTTTAATTTATAGAATAAGATTACAATATAATCCTACTAATATAATATAACCACGTGTAGTCGCAAGTGCGACTGCCAAGCAAGAGGGCTCGGGTTCGATTCCCGGGTCGAGCGAAATAGAAGAGAAAAAGGATATGACAAATAATAATAAAAAATAGCAGTAGCACGGAGTCAAAAAATGTGTCCGGTATATGGCAACAGGCTCACCGCCTAGTACGCCTAGTAAGGACTCGTAACATCAATAGTAAAAAGTGATTGTTACATTGTACAGTGGCATTAAGTGCCGTGATATAAAGTTCTGCCTACCACTTTGGGGATAAAAGGCGTGATGTTAGAAATTCCATGTAACATTGATCGAACCTATTACGCTAAATCGAATACAATTTCAGACTGAACCAGGTATGTACCTCCTACAAGCCCCCCCCCCACACCAATATCGTCACCTGCACTGAAACCCTAAAGGAAATACCTTATCGTGTAACGTGGGGGTAAGTCTAAAACAATGAAGGCGTATTTGGCAGTAATCCAGACTGTATAAAATTAGTTGTCCTGAAAGTTATTTTCTTTTTCCGTCTCCTTGACTAAATATTGGTGTTACATTGTCCTCACATAATTGAACTCAACGAAAGAATGTAACCAAAAATTGTATTGTGAACCTAATTAAAAAAGAGTAACCTATGGAGTTTCTTATAGGAATATACACTTTGGAACGAGCAAATAGCTTCACTAGAGGACAGTACTTACCTACAGACAGACATTTTTTGTTATATTTATTATTAAAATATTTTGTTTTGACGATTAAAACTGCCTTCCTGGTCTAATTGAAATAAATGATTTTGACTTTGACTTTGCCATACCGCCGACGAGAAAACAACTATCGGCAATTTTCTCGCTCAAGAAACTTATGAAGTTCACACCTAATAAGCATGGCACCAGCCCGGCTCAATCACGGCACCAGCCCGGCGTTTTTTAATTTGGTAATAATACAAAAATGTTGCAAAAGGCTTATAGCTTTTTTAAATTGACGTTATGAAATATGTTATATTACAAATATGTTATATTACAAATACGAAGGAATAACAACAATAGGAACTTCTGTCGGAGACAAGGGGAGGTGATTGGCGTTCAACATTGCACCATCGCACTCACTCTTGTTTTGGAGTCTGAGTGAACAACTAATTATTAAGAATACTGTCAGTCGATTAGTGTTCGGTAATTGCAATCAAATCTGAGTGATTACTCTTGAATCCAATTCCGATCGATCGACATTGGTATTGTGAACTTTCTTACTCTTGAGTTGCAACACTAGCGCCCATTGCATCAGTATTGCGTGGATATTGAATGAACTAAATGTTATTGAGTTTGGCTTTATATTCCGTAGGTACCCTGAATGCTATTTTAACAGCTACGATAGGAGTTGTATAGTTTTGATATTGAATAATTATTGGAATTTTATTGGATTGAAATTGCATTGACATTGAGATTGGTTTCGAGAGTAAGCACCCAGTATTGTGATTTTTGATTTTTTATTGAGTGTTAGTCTATAACTGTGAACATTATTAGAATAAGAAAGAACTAAACTTTGATGTACTTTGGACCATGTTTGCACTTTGAAAGTGACTGAGACCTCGAGTTTGGTTCGGCAGTTCTTCTCAGAGTACTCGGTAGGAAATATCTGCCTCAACTCGCTTAATTAAAGTGTGAAAAAATATAAGTGCAATGTACGATAATAAACAATCCTTTCATTTCGAATATTTTATTGTTGCCTACACATAGGTCTACCGATATATGTAATGAAGAGGGCTCTCGCCCAACATCATCCCGGCGCTCTCCGATAAATACATTAACACAAATCTTTAAAACTCTGCTTACTTCTGTTCGAGTATTTTATTAATACTCTGACACATTTTTTTGACAATACGCCCTCTCTCTCTTCTACCAATATTAAATGTTACTATGCTCGACAGGGTCCATAATTATTACTATTGTATTTTCTAACCACATGTGTATGTACATTTTGAATACTAATTTTATAAACACTTGATTACTTGATGACATTCTGTTTGGCACTGCACAGTTTCCAACTCCGATCACCACGCCGGACACCGAGCACTGGAAATGGCTCGAATAAGTTCAAGAATCAAACATCTTACCGGCTAGTGTGTTAACAGGCTTACTCCATTGTAACATTGTTAACTGCAGTGCATACTATGTTTAGCCAGAACATCTTGACAGTGGTCTCGATGACGACACATTGTGTACAACCCAGTCAGATACCAAACCTGTCTTCTACATAACACACAGGGCCACGCATAAATTACACAATTTACTGAAGGTACTACCATAAAGTATGACAACAAAATTATTTCGTTACCTTTGCTTTTAAATTATCGTAGTAAAATAGATGTGTTTTACATACCTAGTATCAATACATAGTATAAAACAAAGTCGCTTTCGCTGTATGTCCGTATGTATGCTTAGATCTTTAAAACTACGCAACGGATCTTGATGCGGTTTTTTTTAATAGATAGAGTGATTCTTAAGGAAGGTTTGTATGTATAATACATGTATATTGCACCCGTGCGAAGCCGGGGCGGGTCGCTAGTTATTAAATAAATAAGTAACAGATGCATTATCAATTCCCTGTTTGTAGAGCATTGCCAAATTCATTTCTACGATATAATGGATTCGGCACTAGACCAATGTACCAATGTAATGTACCAATTCGTTTGTTATCTTAGTGTTTGTACGAAAATGGGGGATGCCAGCCTCTTATTGCTCGGCTATGACTGGGTGCTGCGCACCGACCTCCCGAACGGCGTTAGCATCATATGCTACGCCGACGACAGACTGGTGCTAGTGCACGGGAGGTCGCACCAGGCGGCGGCCGATTTAATGGCGACAGTGGTTGCGACAGTCGTTAAAAGAATCCGGCAGTTTTGACTCGAGGTGGCTTCACAAGTCCGAGGCCATGTGTTTTCATGGCCACGGGAACGCGCCACTTCCTGGTGAGCCCCAAATAACGGCGGGAGGGGTTACCATCGGCGTCGAGACGACGATGAAGTACCTAGGACTCATCCTCGACAGTCGGTGGAACTTCGTGGAGCACTTCTGACGTTTGGAGAGGACGGGGGCTGCGTTTCGCCAACCTCGGGGGGCCAAACGCCTCCTGCCGGAGGTTATATGCCGGGGTCGTGCGGTCCATGGCCCTCTACGGCGCCGCTGTGTGGGCGCCGAACCTGATGCGGCGACCCGCTCGGGCGCTGCTCATGTCACAGAGGATCATGGCGATCCGAATGATCCGCGGATACCGCACGATCTCCGGGGAGTCGGCGAACCTCCTTGCCGGATTACCGGCGTGGGATCTGGAGGCGAAGGTGCTCGCGCGCGTGTATCGCATGCGCGCGGAGGCACGTCGCCGGGGCGAAACTCCGCTGCCGCGCCAGATAAGTGCGTGGCGGGATGAGCTCCGGCGCGATCTCATGGCGGAATGGCAGCAACGACTGTCGCAACCGAGGGCTGGGCTCGCTGCCATTGCAGCGGTAAGTCCCCTCTTTGAGGAGTGGCTTGAGAGACGCTACGGCGTCCTCACCTACCGCCTGACGCAGGTCCTCACCGGACATGGAAGTTTCGGGAGGTACCTGTGTCTGATGGGGCGGGAGGAAACGCCCGGGTGTCATCACTGCGAGGACCGCCCTGAGGACACGGTGGAACACACAGTGGGGGAATGCCCTGCGTGGGCTGAGCACCGCCGTGCCCTCAGGGAAGTGATCGGCGATGGCGACCTCTCGCGTCCGGGCCTAGTGTAGGCCATGATGCAGAGCGAAGGGGACTGGGATGCCGTCTCTTCCTTTTGTGAAGCAGTTATGCTAGCTAAGGAGGAGGCGGGACGCGTGAGGCAGCGAAGTGCTGCCTCCTCGCAACCCAGCCATCGCGAAGGATACACCGGGCGTCGGGGATCGCGAGACGATCTCCGGCCACCGTAAGCGCGGGTCCTACGGACGGCGAGCATGGGTGACTCCTCGTCCGACCAGAAACAGACCCGAGCGTACGGCGCGTCGCGCAAAGTGCCATCAGACCACCACAAATGGGGCCCAACAGGGCCGATACCGATTCGGAATCGCGGAGAACCTAACGGGTAACCGGGGCTCCGGCTCGACGTGCAGAAGAAGGAACAGGGTGGTTTTTAGTCAGTAAGAGTCTGACACTGCCTCCCGCCTCCCCTAGGCGGGAGCAGTGATTCGATGATTTTCCCCCCTTAAAAAAAAGGTTCTTATTGCGCTTCCTCGATGTCTGCCTGATGTATTAATGCTGTACTAACATACTGTGTGGCTGCCGTGGGATCTGGAGGCGAAGGTGCCCGCGCGGGTGTATCTTCTGCGCTCGGAGGCACGTCGCTGGGGCGAAACTCCGATGCCGCGCCAGATAAGTGCGTGGCAGGAAGAGCTCCGGCGCGATTTCATGGCGGAATGGCAGCAACGACTGTCGCAACCGAGGACTGGGCTCGCTGCCATCGCACCGGTGAATCCCCTGTTTGAGGAGAGGCTTGAGAGACGCTACGGCGTCCTCACCGCGTCATAAGAGCCTGACACTCCGTCCCACCTCACCCAGGCGGGAACAGTCATTCGATAATTTAAAAAGAAATCATTGTTTTTCATTTGTAACATTGACAGTAGCTATTCCAAATAATTATAAGAAATTACTCAAATAAATGTTCCACCCGTTGTTAGGATAGTGGTGAATACAATATTATTACTTCTGCTTGTTTGTATCTTCGATGCAGGCATCATTTTAATTTATAATTAATATAGTAATGTGTTATATAGGTCATGAAACTGGAGGCGTGGAAATCCCGGGCGTTAGGCCTAAGCTGAACTAAGCTGTGAAACTAATCCTGCGACATCTAATTTCACTTCGGTGCATCGGTCGGTACTAACTGGCAGTAACAGGTACCAGCAGTACCATGGTGAATGTTTACATATTATCTA